ACCACTACCACTACTATACTACTATACTATACTACTGCTGCTGCTGCTGCCACTACTACTCCTCCTGCATGCTTGAGCTGCTGCCACTACTACTACTACTACTACTACTACTACTACTACTATCTACTACTACTACTACTACTACTACTACATCATACTACTCTCCTGCTGCTGCTGCTGCTGCTGCTGCTCGGATCTGCCTCTGTGAACTATACTGCCCAGCCTTAATATTCAACAACACCTAGCCTCAATCTATATATATATAAAACAAGCCCGGCCTCACCCCGGCCTCACCCCCTCTCTGCCCTAACATAAACCTAAACCCCTTGAACCCCTAAACTCGGAGCTTGTTCGAGTCTTTGGGTTGAGGCCTTTTGGGGTTTGGGGGGGGGGGGTTGTTTACTCAATTGTGGTTCCGGGATTTGTGGCTAATGCCAAAAGGCCCTAAGGACCCCGAACCCCAACTCTTGCCTAGTGAGGGGTTTCTTTTGGGGGCGAAGAGTCCGGGCTTATCATTAGGCTTCGGGGCTTTGAGGTTTTCTTTAGGGGTTGTGAAGTTTTGTTTTTTTGTGGTTTCGGGCCATTGGGGCCGGATTTCGCTGCAGTGTAGTGGTAGAGTGGTAGTAGCATATAATCGAGTACATTCGATAATATAGTACTATCCTAAGCAGATAGTGGCAGTAGTTAGATATGTAATATATATGTACAAGCTATTAGTACTATATTAGCAGGTTTGGGCACTTCCGGCCCCCGCCTCGGATCTGCTCCAAAACCCAATGCCTTAGACTGAGCCCTCTCCCCGATAACAGCCCTCAAAAAACTTTGGGGTCTGCCGGCCCCGGTTCGCAAGCCTCGAAAAGTGCAGTCCAGGCCCCAGAGGCCACAACACCGCATTCTGCAGAGACTTCCCAGCTGCTTGTGCATGTAGGAGCAGAAAGATCCTTTGAGCAGAAACAACTGTTTTTGCACATTTTTCCGGTTTTCGGGGGAATTGGGGAAAAGGCGAACCCGCCAAACGGGCGCATATTCCCGCCAAACGGGCGCATATTCCCGCAAACGGGCGCATATTTTAAAACTGCTCGAATATTGTCCTAAAACCCAAGCAATTGAGCAGAAACCCCGCAATTTGAGCAGAATTGTCGCAGGGGCCCGGAAGTGTACTAAATAGGCTAGAGATTGCTAGGGTTGTCGGGGAATTGGGTCTTGTTATCCGTTGTAAGGTCTTAGGGCTTAGGGTTTAGGGGCAGAAGTTGCATTGCACATCGGCTTCCATTGCCATTGCAGACCAAGCTAGGACGTCCTTAGGGCAAGCTCTTCTGTGCTTCTAGAAGCACTACATTTCTTTTCAGGGATGACGGCCTCAGGGGAGCATGCCAAGGAGGACATTGCTGCCAAGATCCTGGTTATTTGTCCGCATAGATACATATATATATATATACATATTTATTAGATATATAGCTATATATAGATATACATATTAGATAGTTACAGACATATATATGTATATATAGCTATAGGTATAGGTCTAGGTATAGGTATAGGTATAGGTATAAAGCTGGAGGTAGAGGTATAGGTATAGGTGTAGGTATAGGTATAGGTATAGGTATGGGTATTGGTTTGGATGCAATATGTATATATATATATATACATATATATATATATGTGTACATGTATGTATACACATACTATAATATATATATATATTATGCATAAAACCTATATATATATATATATATTATAATTGACTGTGTATATATATATATATGTCTATATTATATATGTACATACACACACACACTTACATACATACATACATACATACATACATCCATACATGCATGCATGCATACATACATACATACATACATACATACATAGCTATATATGTATATATAATATAGTTCACACATGTGTGACTGTCTCTCTTTCCCTCTCTGTTTGGGACTCTGTGTCTCTCTATAGTCTCTAAATATGAAACTCTCCCACGTCTCCGTCCGGTTTATATATATGATATATATTTAATGTATCACATACTCATCTGCTTCTTTTATACATATATATATATGTGTGTGTATATACAGATCTACAAACACATAAGCTCTTTCTCTCTCTCTCTCTGTCTCTTTTTCCGTGTTGTATACTTGATGAACTACCTTTGCAATCGTTTGTGGTCCTACCCCAAGGCTGCCAGGCAGCGAATTGCCGCCTTGCAGTCGTCTCTGCAGAAGCCAGAGCCGGAGATCGCAGTGCCTGTGCCAGGCACTTTCCTAGATATGTCATAATTTACCTGGAGCCCTAAACCTGAACCCTAAGCCCCAAACCCTGATCTTATAACTATTTTTTAGCCTAAGCCTAAACCTGAACCCTGATAATTAACTAAGCCTAAATCTGAACCCTAAGGCCCGAACCCGGCTAATCTTCACCCTGGGTCTTGAACTTGAACCCAAGCCCCGACCCTTAATCTTTACCCTGAGCCTAAACCTCAACCCTGCCCCGAACCCTGATCATATACAAGCTGTGCCCTGAGGCCTAAACCTATAAGCCCCGAACCCTAACTTAGTCTGTTCAGCTTTCGGCAGGCGACAATACGAGTGCTGAGAAGCCTATGTATTTCGCTGACATGCGACCCTCGAAGAAGATCCGCCCCTCCAGTCAGGATGCCCAGGTTCCCTCGGAAATCAGTATGTCTGCAGAGACTTTGAGGCTTGGGAGCCAGGAGAGTCTTGGGGCCTCCAGGTCCTCGCTGGAAGCAGAGACCGATCCGAAAAAGGTCTTGTTCGCAAGCCCCTCTGCTACAATGGTTTCGCCGAAGCCGACCAAGAGCCCTGGCAAGACGACTTGGGTGGACAACCGCCCCTCGAAAAGGGATCGGAGCCCCGCTGGCTCCGTTGCTCGGATCTATAGTCTGTAGTGCTGTCATGTAATCATACTGCATGTTGCCAGGGTTTCTAATCTAATTGTGAGACGAGGTCGCTTCCGGAAGCTCGCGAGGTGATACCGATGATTCCTCCAAGAAAGGCAAGCGATCGCAAAGCCCGACCTATTGGAAGAATTTCGAATCAATTACGAATGTAGGCCTTCACGGGGGTTAGGGCTTCACCTTGCAAGTTTAGGATTTCAGGGTTGATGTGATCGCCTTATAGGGTTGTACATCTAGGATTATTATAGAGCTAAGAGGTTTTAGTTTGAAGGTTTAAACCTTAGAATTAATCTTTCCCCAAGCAACCTGATTCGATGAGGCTTCGTCGGTACTTCACACCGAAATCATGCGGAACTTTGAAGTGCAGTGCCGAAGCACTAGCAATGTACAAGAGCTCCGCCGGCCGCCGCTTTGCTAAAACCTCCATAAAGACCAACCATGCCAAACCCGAAACCCTAAACCCCAAACCCTAAACCCAAAACCCCAAACCCCACACCCTAAACCCTAAACCCTAAACCCCAAACCCCACACCCTAAACCCTAAACCCGGCCTATAGCCAAGCTGCTCCTCCACATCCACTCCAGGCGAACGACTTCGCGAACTCCTCCGCCAACACGGGACGTTCGAGGCTATGGAGGTTCATGTGAAAAAATGGTCGAAGACTTTGAACCACCACGGCAAGAGTGGTCAGTGGGTGACAAAGCACCAGCTGACCACCACCCATGGATGGTCTAAGTATCTTGGTTTAATGTATCGAACCTATGGAACATAGGATTTCACGCCGAGATTACATATAGGGTCTAGGGTTTTGGGGGGGTTTAGGGTTAGGGTTTGGGTGGTTTAATGTATCGAACCTATGGAACATAGGATTTCACGCCGAGATGACATATAGGGTCTAGGGTTTTGGGGGGGTTTAGGGTTAGGGTTTGGGGGGTTTGGGGGGTTTGGGGGGGGTTGGGGGGGGTTGGGGTTTGGGGGTTTAAGGCTTATAGGGTTTAGATATACACTTCACTGTTTCAGGCAGATGATCTCCTCGGCCTGGGAGTGGGCCAAGACCCGCAAGTTGGTTCGGGTTAACCCCGTTCACAAGGAGGAGGAGGCCAAGCTCATACTGAGCGAGGTCTTCGAAGTGAATGAGGAAACTGGTGCCGAGACCAGCATGAATGGAACCCTGGAAGTTCAGGACAGTACTTAGTGGATCTCGAGAGCAGGGGCGATCCTTAAGTAGAAGTCATGCACATAGTGTGCAGGATGAGTCGGGCTTCTTGTTTCAGAATGACACCCCCTCGGTGGCTGATTCGGACGATGCTATTCTGGCTGCTTTCAGCGATGCGAGCCGGGCCGACGAGAACAAACCGGAAGCTGCCAAAGGCTCCTTCAAGAACCTTGCCTCTCCAAGCTTGGTTTACTTTCCTGTCCCTGAATGAAATCCGAACAACCTGCAAATGCAGCTCAGGCTGAACTTCCCCACGCTGGGCAAGGATCAGAGCCCGGCTGCTCTCCTCACGGACTTCTTGGAGGTGCTCGGAAAAAAACGGACAGCCTCGAAGACCACTTGGTTCCTCGGATCGCATGTCACTAATGGAGGGGTCTTGAGATCTGCAAGGTTGGGAATCTTATCATATTGATGTGCTGGCCCTTCGGGGGTTTGTTTCGGAGTTGGACTTTGTGGTTGGGGCATCTACCGGGTCTTCAGCTTCTAATATGTGTTGTTACTATTAGAGGATCAGATGCATAGCTAGAGGCTTGTGCTAGAGTGGAGCAGCTGGTTGGTTCAGCTTGCCAAAGCTGGGGTTTTCAGGGTTAGAGATTAGATCTATGCTTGCAATTAAATATGAAAGCTACATATAATAAATATGTATATATATATATATATTACATACCTAAATAGGTTTAGATTTAGGCTTTAGGGTTTAGGGTTGTGCCCGGGCTGACATTCTGGGTTTATGGTTTCCGGGCTAAATAGCTTAGGGCCTTGTGCTTTATACGCAGAAGTGTTTGTAGTACATGCATCATTAAATGGCGAGCTTGGGCCTCTGGGATCCAAGGGCTAGGCACTCCTATGGTTTATAGATTTGGATATGGGGCTTTCGGGTTTGCACGCTTTGATTAATGACGGGTTTGTCACATAAGAGTGAACCCCAAAGCACCCAAGCCTCAAATTCTAGTCCTAGAGCATTGAATTAAAATTCATGCAAGTCTACACCAACCCTAGCTGCTAGCTATATAGCTAGACCCGAGATTCTCGAAACACAAACAATTGATCCTCGAACCCTGCACCCTTGAAGTTATGTTAGAACTATTTATATAGGTTTGGGTGTAGTGTCGCTGGGTGCACTTGTCAGGAAGCCCTGCAGGGCTCCACGCATCCCCGGGCGAAGAGGTGGCTCGGATGTAATTTATTCGTGGGCTGCATCGTTTTGTGATCCCTGTGGCACACCCCAGGCTTCATGAGCAAATGAATATGATCTTGCAGCAGCTGCAGAAGTACTACAAGGAGCTGACTGCAAAGCAGGCTGGTGCTATCCTGAAAGCCCCAGACCAGCATCTAGATGGCAAGTATGTTGATATGTTGTGATGCATGTAGCCTACTGTCGATTGCCCTGGTGCTCGCTGTCAAGGCCCTTCAACGACGAGGTCATGAGGCTCTATGCAGAAGTCACGAAGCAGGATGTCATCTTGGGAAACTTCCTCACTCGCTCGAGGCACATCAAGAACATCAGACACTTCCCGATCCCTTCCCTAGCTCCCCGCCACCGCATACCCGGTATATAAATCTAGCTAGAGGTTTAGGTCTTTCTTTTAATTGGTGTTTGGAGGGTTCTGGGGTTTGGGGTTTGTACGGTTCAGGAAGTGATCGAGTGTTATTTATTTATTATAGCTATACTAAGCTGCGAGCCCACTGTATTATGAAACCATGCATCCTTCAACCCAATACACCTGAACCCTACAGGGTTTAGGTTTCAGGCTAAGGAGGTTGGAGGTTCGTACTCTTCTGTGGGTCTGGGTTTCTCGATCATCACTTTTGAATAAGTTAGGTACAATAAAGCCTAGACACCCAATCCTTAAAAATCCTTTGCCCCTAAACCCTGAACACCTAAACCCTGCCCTGCAACCATTGCAATATATAAATCTTAAAACCTAAAACCTGGGAGCAAAACCCACGAGGTCATTGGGGAGCTTGGGGTGAAGGGCTTAGCTCTAGGTTTATAAAATAAAAACGATAATGCTCGAACCCGTTAGTCTTCATGACCCCGAAACATAATCGGCGATCCCATGTCACCGCCACTGCCAGCTCGCCCCCAGGTCGATCAAGGCAGGCTCGTCGACGAAGGGCCCCGGCTCCTCCAGAGGATCCAAGCCCGCAAAGAGTGCCAAGAAGGACAAGAAGGAGAAGAAGGAGAAAAAAGAGAAGAACACCAAGAACTAGATCCTAGCTTTCTTTTCCCGCCTTTCAGCAAATTGCTTGCAACGAACATAAAGGCTAGCCAGTAGGTTGCCCTTAGATGCAAGCAGTGGTCCTCTGGGTCTCGCAATCTATGTAAAATATGCATGCAAGCAGCTGCTGTCGTGCGACTAGTCAGACTAATCATGTGCATCATGGCTAAAAGCCACTGGACTCGTGCTGGGGCAAGGGGATGTGCTCTGCTGCAAAAAGACTACCGACCTTAGATGGGAGGAGATTGATTGGGAAATGGGTAGGCCAAGCTCCCGCAAACCCCCAAACCCTAAACCCCTCCTAAACCCTGAACCCCAAACCCTAAACCCCTAAGCCCTAAGCCCTAAACTGAACAAACCCAAAACCAACCTCCGAAATCCCCCCGCAGATGCTTTGAACGGAGATGCTGGCAGCAGTGATGGCGAGGATAGTTGCTTAGCTAAGAGAGCCCATGAGATGCACAACCATGCCATTAACCCATGCAGTCTGTTGCTCCTGCATCAGGTTGCAGCAGTGGCGGCTCGTCGGCCGCCGACGACTTGGCTGACGAGCTTTTGATAGGCTTCGAGGAAGGGGCTCTCAAGCTGCACTATATAGTTGAAACCTTAAACCCTAAACCCTGTCTGGCTTCTGAAGCAAGAAAAGCGCCAAACCCCGCAGACGAGCCCTAGGCCCCACCAACCAAAACCTGCTTCCCCACAGCAGCAGCTAGTTGAGGTTCTATCGGGGGAGAGTTGTAGGCCCAATATACATATAGAATAATGTACCCATCCGTACATACCCTATAGGACCCTATATCCTATGAACGATCTGAGGTAGACAGTGCTCGGCGAGTGGCTAGGCTGGCCAGAGTGGCCAACAGCAGACTGAAGAAGCACGGCTTCTGTACGGCTTTTGGGAACCTTTTTATAAACCCTAAACCCCAAACCCCTAAACCCTAAACCCCTAAAGGCTCAGGCCTTAGGCTTGGAGATGTAGGTGGTGGTTGGTTCCATTGCATTATTCACACACCAGGTATGTACCTAGTTGTGTGTATCTAGTATCTTGAGATGCTCAAGCCCCAAGCCGTGCAGCACTCTTAAATCTGGAAATCCAAAGGCCTTACAACCCGAAAGCCCCATGAGTTCCCGAAGCCGATAACCCATTCTAGACCCAAGGACAACAAATCACCCTGAACCCATCAACCCAGGGACCCAAACCTCAAAACTCGGTCGAGCTAGCCTCCTTAGAAAAGGACGGCTTCAAAAAAACCGGAACCTCCCAATCCCAAGCCCTGCAAGACATCACTTGTCTATAGGTTCATGTTCAATTAGGGGGAAGCTTCAGAGTTTCATAGGTGTTGGACAAAGCAGGACCTTTAGGCTTCAGTGCTTTGGGTCTTTTGTGTTTGTTCCTTGTGTCATGTATAAATTTAATGTATGTGTTTATATATATATAATATGTATATATATATACATATATATATATAGATATATCTTATGTATATGTATGTATAGTATAGTATAAAGGGTGGTGGTATAATAGTACTACATAGCAGTACTACTATATGGTCCTAGTGGTGGGAGGGGCGGTGAAGTAGCACTGCTCGCACGTTTCGTGCCTCTATGTCGCCGTCGTCGTCGTCGTCGTTCAGGGTTCTAGTGTGGTCTGTATATTGTCTAAGCACTGTGATATATAGATCCCATTCGCTCTTTCTAGTTTACAATATGATGCTGCGAGGCATCATGGATCCGATGCTACGAGTGATGGGCGGTTGTGCTGACAACAAAGGCAACGAGTGCCGCAACCTCCATTCAGTAATCCATCAGTCTGGAAAGACACTTCCTGTGATGGTGTCAACAACAAAAACAAAGATCCTGATCCTCAGGGGCAAAGTTCGCACAGAGGAGGTTGAGTGGCCCGTGTTGCTGCTTTCCGATTGGTTTCGAACAGTATGTGCCTCTGGAGGGCATATGATGTTGGCAGGCCACAGCTTGGATGAACCGGATAGATTCGGCTCAGTCTTTGCGACTTTCTGGGAGCGATATAAGTTTGTGAACCCCGAGCATAGCATCTACGATGGCTCTTTGGATCTACGGTTCGCCATCCCGGTGGCCTGCCACGGGGATGAAGGAAGAGGAAAGATAAAGAAACCTGTTATGATACTATCGTTCCAACCAATCATATCTGTTCGTGGCCCCCGGTTCGTGAATTCATCAGGGTACCTGGCTATTAAGCACTTATTTCTATGTTAGTCTGAACAAGATGATTACACCAACTACCCTATGGCATAGACAACACTCGATAGTTTTCGCAGGCACTCCTTTACATCCCGGTTGCTGTTCACCGTCATGCCTGCAGAGTTGTACTACAAGAAGCAAACTCTCGACATGCTACATACTGCGATGGTGAACGACCTGCAAGCCTGCTACAAAGATGGCATTACTGTGACACTTCCGATCGGCTGGGTTTTCCTGTTTCGTATTTAGCTAGTTAAACAATTAATTTTCAGCACATCCCCTTCGGTCTTCGAGATCTTAATGGTGCTTAATACACAATTATAAGGTTCAATGGGGAAGCCAGACCTACAATTTCCACTTGGTCCCAATTATGCTGAAGGGCGATTGGCCCTATGTCAGGGCCGCTGCACACTTGAGCACTGGTTTCGCCAGCCGGCGGAAATGCCACCTCTGCAATGTGGCAGTGGCTGGTCGGGTAAATAAGTAAGGTTGCTGAAGCTTTCTGTCTCTACAGTGGTATTCTCCGACAAAACCCTAAACCCCTAAACCCTAAACCCTGCAATGAACTTTGTGGAGCTTGTTGTTTAAATTAGTAGCACCTCACGATACATATTAAGGAGTGGTACAATGTTGGACCATCCTCTGCCACAAGGGCCTTACCCAGGAATGCTCACAATCCCAGCCCCTTCACATCGAGAAGGTCTCCATTTCGAAGCTTGCCGGATGGTGACGATCCTTCCTTTATTGTACCAGACCCTGCCCATACTTATGCCATTGCTGGCTGGGGCAAGGATTTCCTCGCTAGCAGCATTCTGTTGTTGCTCCACATGGGAAGGTGGGGGACTGGTGCGATTGCAGTGCAGCTGGAATGTGCTTTTCATGCTTTCAAATCTTGGTGCAAACAGAATCACAGGACGACATCTCTTACAACCTTCAGACTTCAGACTTTCAAGATTAAATCGATGCTGCACTGATCAGAAGACTTTGCCGGTTAAGTTGGTTTATGTATGGAGGATGTATACAAACACCCAATCGGACTCAAAACCTCAATCCCCAAACCCTCAATCGGAAGTCTTAAGCCCAAACCCGCAAACCCCAAAAGTATGTGCTAGCCGAACCAAGATTGAAGATGTTTCCAGCTGGCCTTGGGAAGGGTTACGACACCCCTGTTTTAGCTGCCTGGATCAACGATGTGCTTGCAGAACTAGGCCCGGCCTCCGTGGATGCATCCTGCTTGAACTTGTCGAGCCAAGCAGTGCCAAGCAGCCAAGAATCCTTAAACTTAATATAGTATAGAAACCATGGTATTTCGGGATACCTATTTGCAACAGTGGTCTAATTTGCTCCAAGTGATCGATAAGGCTAAGCCTTTTTTCCTCTAGGGTTTGCAGGGCTTAGGGTTTGGGGTTTACAGGTTTATAATTTTATTGGGTCTTTAATCCGAGGACCAGTGGAAGGACATGCTCCAACTGCTGAAATGGACTTCTGCATCGCTGAATATATTCTGGAGGGCCCTTTACAGTCATGGCATGTGGATCCCTGTAGAAGCCGCCAAAGTCGCAGTAGAAGCAGGTCTCAAAATGCTTGACCCTCGCTTGCACCCCTGGCAATGCTTAAAGTTTTTCTCTTCTGCAAACCCATATAGTTGTAGCATTCCCGATACCTGGGCGATCCAATACTGCTATGTCTAAGGAGGGCTTCCAGAATTTGGCTGTTTTGGCAGCCAACCGTGGGCTCTGCTTGTACCGGATTAAACCCAAGCTTCACATGCAGCTACATCTGGTGTCCCTGGCCTAAGTATACAATATAGTTAATTGTGTTCCATTTTTACAGTCTAGGTTATGTTATGTTCAATAGATTTTGATGTTTACTAGTTTAGGAGTGCTTGCATCCTTGATCCGGAAGCAGGTTGTGGATGAAGCATCAAATCAATGCTGGTGCCAGCTTCGTACTTTCTATTCTATGTCAATGGGCAGCAATTCAGTACAGTTTTACCGGGGCTCTGCTGGTATATTTTAAATATATGTAATGTTAATCTATATAGGCCTAGGATAGTTTGGGATTCATTTCGCAATCGAGGTGCTGCTTGTTGGTCTGACGAAGACTTCGTGGGTCGGGTTAGTAGAGTGACTCGCAGAGTGCACAACTTCACCATTGCAGTCCGAAGCATTTCCCGATGCTTCATGAAGTACAGACGAGAGTTCCGGAAAGCAGTCCGAAACTTGTAGTGCAGCCGAGAAGCAGCCGAGAGGCCACCGGGCCAGGAAAAGATTGTGCACTTTTGCTGTCAAGTGTGCGCTTTTTGGTTTAAACAGGCTTTTGGGCCCAGTGGGTTTGAGCATTTATTTTCCGAGCGCAAATAAGTGTATCAAAGGATGATGCTCTAGGTATAAACCCTAAACCCTAAACCGATCTCTTTACAAGCCGTGCATCCTTGGCTCGATGAGAGGTCCGGCTTCAAGAGGCGCAGTGGCAGGACCTCCAGATAGGGCTTAGGGCTTAGGGTTTAGGATTTAGGGGTTTAGGGTTTATAGGGTTTAAGGGCTTAGGGTTTAGGGTTTAGGGTTTATAGGGTTTAGGGTTTAGGGATTTAGGGTTTAGGGTTTAGGGCCTGACGTTAAGGGTGGTTGTTTGCGGGGGGTGAGGGGGGGGTGGCAC